CCCCACACTCAATTTCCCAAAAATCCTTGACACACCCCATCTTGCTGTTTTTCGGGGCCTTCTTTCCGCACCTTTAACACTCCAGACGAAAGACAGCATAGGGTGTGAGGTTGGTATCGGAGCCGACACGTGTCGGTTCTAACGTTAGTGAGACGAGCTGGTGAGAGGAAGATTAGCCAAACAATCTAATCGCCTCACTCCTCCCGTCACTCAGCAAAGGTTCGTCGAGGCTCGAATAGAGATGCCCATGGCCGATKCTAATGGAATGCCTCCCCGGGTGATGGTAAGCATCCCCGCTACCTTTCCCTTCTATCCTAACTACACTCATCCAGAGGCATGGCTTGAAGCCGTGCAAGCACAGGGTTATGACGCCGAGGATCTTTCCYGCGTCATCACCCTGTTACTCTGAAACACCACGCACRATTGGTTCAGAAGGCACCGATGGGTAAATTGGGATAYTTTTAAGAGTGCATTCCTATCGCGATTTGAYGCWGTCAGCGAAGATGCTGCATGRTTYGTACTGAAAACCCGTCCRCAGGAACCARGGCAATTGCTACCGGACTTTGTGGATCGTTTTCAGACCGCCCTGGACAAATCGGGACGGGAAGAAAACGCTGCCCGAGATTTGTTCATCGATCATCTCCGCAATCCCATGTTGAAGGCGAAGTTGCAGAAAAAGGTCCCTCCAAAGACAAACCAACTGTCCGTCATCATAGCTAAAGCCCTTGAGCTAAATCTGTAGGACATGCGTAAGTATATTAGTCAGGGAGAAGAAGACATTTCGGACACGATCCAGGACGTGGCGGCCAAGAGACGGTCATGGCTCAGGGCGGTGGGGCGATTTTACCCTCGTCCCGATCATGACTACCAAGATGGCCCCGCTCCGGATTACTCCCCGTATCACTCCTTGCCTCTCACGAAACCTCCTCTTCCTCCCAAAGTGGCGCCTGTAAACACGGTCATGGCCCAAGATGCCGCATCAATACCCATCACCAACTTGCATCTGCTCCAGATGCAGGCTTCTCAGATGGATCGACTGGAACAGATTATAACGAAACTAGAAAAGGCTAATTCCAGCTCTTCCCACCCCGTCCCCACTCAATACCCGCTGCTTACTACCCCTCCCGCAGGGGGACCAGCCCCTCCTGCCGCTCCCCTTCATATCACTAACCGAGCAGGGAGGATCGAATGCTACAACTGTAAACAACCGGGACACTTTGCTCGAGAATGCCCTCAGCTGAAACGTAATCAGCCACCCCCGGCGGCCACGGCCGTGGCCTTGAATCAAGGTCGGGTGGCTGCAATATTAAAACAAGCAAGGGAATTTTCCCCCTTCGTCACTGATCAACCACCCTCAACCGATCCGCGCGCATCTACATCGGGATCCTCTTCCAAGGCCGCAAATATCGTCGATCCAGCCGAGTACCTCCAACTGGCCTGACTGATTGGAGCGATCCGACCTGCCAAAGACGAACTCGATTGGGTCGAACGCACATCGGAACCAAAACTACAGTTTCAAACAGGAGAGATCGATGTACTACAGTCACTCAAACAGTTGGACATCCGAGTGTCGGTCCCCGTAGGACACTTGCTGACCATATCCGAAGCTGCAAATGACAAACTCCTGCAGCAATGCGAGAAGAATCAAAAGCGCTTTACCTACCAGCGCGTTCAGCGTATGTTGAAGAAAAAGAAAGAAGATGAGAGCAAGAYAAGTCCTRCCCCTGTGATCGAGTCTAGCGCACTTGAAATGGCGAGAATYGCCGCCATTTCTTAGGCCGAKAAAGATCATTTTGTGCGTGTYCGATCGGTCCTATGGAAAAGTGCAGAATGTGATTGCGAAGTCTGGGGTAAACCGTTTGATGCGCATATTGACACTGGATCATCAGCCGTAGCTATCTCCCTKAACAGAGTCAGAAAGACTGGACGATTGAACTCTATCCTTCCTCTACCAGGGAGGGMCAATTATGTCTCGACCGATGAAGAGGCCATAAATATCGYAGGGATCATTGAGAACGTTGCGATCAAGRTTGGCCGGGTAYATRTGCTGGTTAACGCATTAGTTATCRACGTACACTCTTATTCGATACTGTTAGGACTGCCCTGGGCGATGGCGGTAGGCGCACAAATCCATTTCGATTCTAAACAACTCGTTCTCACCCATACGGGAGGGAAACCTCAAACACTCCCTCTACGA